TAGCTTATTAAATGATAAATCTAGCTATTATGTTAATAATAATATATAAAAATAACATAAATGAATAGAAAATTACCTTACCGCCAAGTCCCTTAAACGAGTTCGTTTTTCAGTCACGAAATTAACAGATGAGTATCCGCATTCTCCTATTCCAAGTGATAGCGATTCCAGTGACGAGGAGGAATACGATTTTCATGAATGGGATGAAAAACAGAATCGCGATGCTCAGTCTAAGCCAGAAGTTAATCAAAAAGTTGTCTATACTGCTAAAGAAATGTTACAGTTTTATTTATCAGCATGTAGACTTAGAGAAGAATTTCCTTTAGATAGGCTCGTGGATTTGTTTAAGGTATGTAAAAATAAATAAAAAAATAAATATAATAAAATTCTCATCAATTAATTTTTTATGATTCAATATATGGGAACGCCCACAGCGAAAGCGGGGGATGGGACTATATAATATATAGTCCCTTTTGCTGTGGGCATCCCCATTTATAACTCATATTCAATTAATACTCATTGATATATTCTTATTATTTTCCTATTATTTAATAGAAAGCAAATCAACCTGGAGGTTCATTAAATGTAATTGATTTGACAGGTTAGATTTTTCCGATACGTCTTATCTCGAGTTTATTTAATTGTTTTAACATTATATTCTCTTAAAACTATTTAAAAAGGCCATATACTTGATAGGAAAATCGCCGAGCCTATTGCTGATATACTTACCCTTGAATGCGGACTAGAAAAGTTAATAATGGAGAGATGCGATATTGAAGATGATGTAGGTGAATTTCTTGAAAGATGTTGAATGATTACTTACTACTTCTATTTAACTATTTACATTGATCGATCTTTTTTTTTTTTTATATACAGACTCAAAAAATCTTATGTCACAGTCTACTCGTGAACGATACTGTTTCTTATTTAAATCTTTCTAATAATAGAAGACTTAGATCAAATGGATTCAATTATCTTGCTATTTATATAAAAAAGGTATTGTATAATTTTACTTCATTTTTTTTTTTTCTTTGTTTCGAAAATTTAAGTCTAATCTATATTATAGTCTACGACGTTAAGTTATCTTGACCTTTCTGGGACATATATCGATAAAAAATCTGCTACCTTCTTAGCACAAGCTTTAGTAGAAGGAAATAATGTGTCTGGTGCTGTTTTGGAAACTTTAAAATTAGATGGCTGCGGACTGAAAAATAATGTATTGGAAGTTTTGGGTAATTTTCTATTCATTTATGTTATTTTTATATATTATTATTAACATAATAGCTAGATTTATCATTTAATAAGCTA